AATGCATTAATAATTTATTGCCCCTTTTCATATTTTTCCCAAATTAATGCAAAATAACTTATGGTTTGTTCTAAGCCAGTTAAAGCATCTACTTTTAAACATATAAGTCTATTATATTAAAAATTATGTCATGTATTTTAGCAATTGTTTGAATAAACGAATTACTTTATCTCCTTAATATTGACTGCTTTCATATTTTTGTTAGATATATCCAAACAAGTTTTCTGAAGAATCATGATTAAAGTGTTGAGTGCATAATACTTTATTTAAAACTAATAATTCATTGATTTTTTTCCAAACTAACCTCCAGTATATCATAATTATTCCTATTTTCTTCAAATAGATGCACTCATCAATTTTGTTGTGCTTGAAGGTTTAAGAAAATAAGTCTCATTTTTAAATATATTGTAAATTTAGAATTATATTTAACAAAATTATTTCTCAGGTATTTTACAAATAAAAAGATTCTGACGAAGGGATGGCATGACCACCTGAATATAAATGTTATGTAAATGTTAATATCATGAAGGTGGTATATCTACTAAATTGACTATTCCGGAAAATTTTGAATTTTGCGCCCAGTTTTTTGGATATTTAGTATTCTTTGACCCAAGAATCAAACGTATGTTTTGTCTAACAATACTCTGAGCGTTTCTTCTTAAATATTGCTTGCAATTTTTCTATTAGTTTTAAAGTGTAGTTGTAGTTAAACTATATAAAATAATAGAAAAAATAATATTTATTACTGCATACATGTTAATTTTATAAAGATAATATTTATAGATTCTTCAGATTTTTATTAATTGATCGTTTCATTCAGTTCTTATTAGTCATTATTTTAGCACCATTTCTATTATCAAGTTATTGCATTTATAGTAACATAGAAAAAGTTTTACAGAATTCAAAGAAATAAATTTCGATTTTTATTACATCTGTAAATTGGAAACTGTATATTTTCATAGATCTTTCAACTTTTGCTGAGCTTCAGTAAATTTTCACGTGTTGTTAGTTCGCAGTAAATTAAATTTTGTCAGATTGTATTTTGTATTCAATTGTTGTTCATAGCAAATAAATTGCTATTCGTTGAACAAAGTTAGTACTTTCTTGATGAATATAAATTGAGTATATTGATATTAATTATCTGACACCAATTTTCTTGTATATTTCGATAATTTTGTCTTTACAATAAAAAATAAGATAAGTCAAAAAATAAGATGTTGCTTGAACTTAATTTTTTACTGCGTATCTCATTATTTGTATTCTACAACAAAGACTGAGAGAATTTCTTGAACCTATTTTTTTTTAAATGAACAAGTATTTGTCATTAAGAAAATAAATAATCTTATTGTGAATTTAGAGAAATATATTAGTCAAATAATATAAATAGTCAAATAATAAATCATTTGCTTTTTTTTGGTATTGCAATAATCACTCAAATGCGTTAAGAATTATAATGACAACTTACTTCATAATTTTGAAATATGGTTTTAATTTGTGGTTATATTTAATAAAATTTACATCTATTATTTGTTAACTTTAAAAATTATCACGCTGAATCATTAACTTGATGTTACATATTTATATAAATGGGCCTTTAAAAATTTTAGCACGTTTTCTTTCCTTTTTTAAAGATTTTTGTTTTATTCAAAACTGTTCAAAAAGATCATCGATTAATGTTGGTGTGACCCGTACTACGACTCATTTTTCCAAACCTAAATATTTTGTTATAGTTCAACCACTTTTCGTAGGCCTCTAATTCTTTTGTACCTCATTTCCTTTGTATCTACCTAAAAGAATGGTTTAAAAATATGATTCAAAAGGAACTTAGTTCATATAATTTTAAATTTTAGTATGACAATAGTTGTCCATGTGATAACTAGTCACTTCAATGATTGATTCACCACGTCTGAGCATTTTTGACATCACTAAGTCATAACCTGGAAATTTCTTATTCTTCGGTTTACCAATTTCTTCAAAATACAATTTTAACGTTTTCCGAATTTTGTAAAGAAAATGTAGTCAAATAGCATTAGAGGAATCTGAGATTGGTTGGAAAACTCTAGATATTGAGCAAATAGATAGGATTTTTCTGTGTCAGACGTAGCCCAGGATAAATGATTATCTATATCCCATTGAATAGGCAGATTTTCAATTGGATCTGTCATTCTTAATTTTTGTAATCTCATTGGATAGGCGAATGTGATTTAATGGGTTTTGCAGATTGTGTTATTAAATCTATTAATATTTGTTACATAGTTGTTGAAGTTTTGGTTGGAAATCCCTTTCAATCTGCATTTTTAACTGTTATTTTTGGAGTAGCAACTAAAGCTGCATTTGACGCATTTCATCGAAATTGCTATCGGCCTATTCAATTCCAGAGGAATTTTTAAGACAAGTTCTAAGATCTGCATTTTTTTCAACTGGCATTTCCCAGTTTACTCATCGCAAAAGTAGCCCAAGAGGATTATATACATTTATAATTGATATAGTATAATAGTAGCAATTATAGGAGAGTGATCTTACTTAGTTATAATAAAAAAAACAATAAATCTTTAGTGGATAAAATTGCATTACAATTGAAAAATAATATATGAAGTAAATATTTATGAATTTGGAAAAAGGAATGAAACTAGTTAAAAGTTGTATTTTGTTTTAGGGGCAAAAACTTTCCGACAGCTAACACAAAATTAACATTTTTTTATTTTTTTTTTTATTTTTAACAGCAATCAGAACCTTACGTCTTATGAGCTGTTGGGCTGAAACTTCTCCTTACTTCGTATTTTTAGATGGTAACCCAAATGGTTAATCCATCCACATTTGATAATTTTTGTTATTAGAATTAATCTGACTTTTTATTGGTGCAGCAATGCCGGGCAAAGGCAATTTTGACTTGGAAACATATTGCTATCTATATTTCAAAGTGAAAATCGTTGTCATCGAAGTGGGTATCGAACCCGGGACCTCTGAAACAAGTCCCGTCGCTCTTAACCGCTTACCTACGGGCGAGCCCAACAAAAAATTGATTTACTAATTTTAACTAAGCGAGAAAATATTTTTTTGCTTGTCGTACGTGCTTTTTTAAATTATTTAATTTTTATTGTTTTTCATCACAAAACAAAGTGCCACTCACACCTAATTTATTAATCTATTATATAAAAATAAGTCGGGTTTTACTTCCTGACGATATAACTTCAGAACGGACGAACCGATTTCGACGATTTTGCATTCGTTGGAAAGGTCTCGGGCTCCGTGAGGTTTATAGCAAAGAAAACTGAAGAAAGATTTCAACAGAAAAGCGGAAAACTTTCTTTTTTCACATACAGAGTCATCTCTGATACTTAGCATGCACTACAAACTGTTATTTTTTGTTTGACTCAATTAATTTCATGTGGCAAACCGGCATTGTGTTCACCGTGAAATTGTGCAAAAAAGTAAAAAAAATATGTTATTCGTTTCTTAACATTTCAATTGGAAACCATTAAATCAATCACGTGTATTGTGCAAATTTTTATTCAATTTCAACAGCAGGCAATTTTTTTCTTCATTTTTTAATCACCAAACGAAATGTTACATAAAATTAAACCATCTGGTGGTGAAACGGAGTTCGCCCGGTTTGCTAGTTTTGAATAAAATTGTTAACCAACAAAGTGCCACTCACACCTAATTATTAATTTTGAATAAAATTGTTAATCAAAATATTAATTTTATATATTTCGTCCGTTTTATTCTTATGTACAAAATTTTACATTTAATTTAAAAATAGCGCCTTTTGTCTCATGAAGTCATACATTGGAATCTTAGACAACTATTTTTGTTTATTTGTTTGATCATTTGTCCAAATTTGATAATTATTTTAAAATAACTTCGAAAAAATTTCAAAAAACATAAAATTAACTAATCAATTTTTTTGTAACAGCATTTTTTTTTTGAAAAGTTAACAAAATATCGATTTAGTATTAAAATTTGTGCACAATAATTACCAACAATAATGAATAATATAAAAAACTAATAGTAACAATAAAATATTAATGAAATGCTGCGCAAATGATTAAATTTTTTTAAATTATTATATTAAATTAACATAAAATTGTTTTAAAGAATTCAACTAATTGTAAGTAGGAAATTATAATTAATCTTTGCTTTTTCATACGCGCTTTTCAAATGTTTTATTCATTTTTTATTGTTGTTCATAACTAAAATGCCACTTACACCTAGTTAAATAAAATCGTTGCGCGAAATATTAAAATTATTTATTTTCTCCCTTTGATACTTAAGCGCTTCTTCATATTTTGGATTCAATTTAAAAGTAGCGCCTTTTGTGTGATGACGTCATACAGTTGAATTTTTGCCAAATATGGCAATTCTTACAATTCGGGTAATATTTCGTTAAAAATTATGCAAGCCTCGTCAGTTGTCGGGTAGCACTCGAAGTCGAAGGTCGTCGTCTGTCTTCCGTCGTGTTAAGTGTGCCGAGTGCATTTTTATCTGTGTCGGATGTCGCCGCGTGTGTAAGTGTTGATTTTATCGAAAATATACCGAAATACCGATTAAAATGGTAAGTTCTCAATTTCACTTATAATATATTTATTCTAATAAACTAAATTATGATTGTACGGACTCAATCTTATTCTTAATTAAATCAATCAACTTGTTCTGTCGAGTGTATGATTTCACACCTACAACGGGGTGTCTTTGTATCATGCAACTACAATTCGATTTCTTTGTGTTATGTAGTAGGAGAAGTAGGGACGAAATGACATGTGGATAAAATGCACATTGGTCTTATTCACAATTTTTAATAACTTTTTCAGTAGCCTTTTTCTGTAATGTTAAGAAAGCCATAATGACAATCCTCGGAGCGGCATTGCATATATAGTTAAAAGTAGCGTCTTTTGTGTGATGACGTCATAGAGTTGAATTTTGGCCAAATATGGCAATTCTTACAATTCGGGTAATAGTTCGTCAAAAATCGTGCAAGTCTCGTCAGTTATCGGGTAGCACTCGAAGTCGAAGGTTGTCGTCTGCCGTCCGTCGTGTTAAATCTGCCGAGTGCATTTTTGTCCGCGTGTGTAAGTTGTGAGTGATTTTATCGAAAATATACCGAAATACTGATTAAAATGGTAAGTTCTCAATTTCACTTATAATATATTTATTTAAATAAACCTAATAAACTAAATTATATGATCGTACGGACTCAATCTTATTCTTAATTCAATCAATCAACTTGTTCTGTCGAGTGTATGATTTCACGCCTACAACGGGGTGACTTCGTATCACCGTGCCACAAAATGGTCGCCGTAATTAGTTCAAACATGTATCGTACCACGTTTTTTTGCGACTTATCAGTAGATCTATTAAAATGAATGAACTTATTCCAGTATTAGTGATTACGATCAACTTTATTGCAATAATCAGATATTTGATGTAATTCTGATTTATACAATCAATCCTCATACCCGGACTCCTCATAATCAATGGATTGGCATCCGTTTTAGACATTCTACAGAGGACTCTCAACAAATTTGCTAATAATGGGCCGAAAATGGAAATTGAAATTTTTTACATTTCTCGACGAAGGTTTCTGAACATTTTGGCATACCTCAGAAAAAATGGATGTGTGTGTGTATGTATGTATATATGGATACAATTTTTCGTCCACATTTTCGAGCGCACGGATCAACCGATTTGACTGGTTCAAAAAACATTCGATTCCTATTGATAGGGAAATGTGCTGATTAGTTTTCGACAAAGGCAGGTCCAGCGCTTTTGGAGATACAGAGCTAAATGTGCAAAAAGTGGCAATTTTAGAGGGAACTAAGCGTCCGATTTGAATGATTCAAAGAACTTTCTGCTTGTTTTAACAAAATAATTGATTTTGAAAAAAAATTTTTTGTTTCAAAATTTTTTTTTCAAAAATTTTTATTTTTTAAAGAAAATTTATTTTTGTATATTAAAAATCATTCAAATTTTTATTTTAATTCTGTTCTAATATACTTTAAACAAATAATTTCAACTTTCCAATTCAGTTTATATAATTATTATAAATATTAGACAATGTTACAATATTAATAATAAACTATTTGAAAACATTCAATATTCCTCGATCATTTCGTTACCGTATGGGAAGTTCCAGCAATTTGCCTTGAGGCACGATGCCATACACCCCACTAGTTTGTGACTTATTTGTAGTTCTATTAAAACGAGTGATCTTATGCCAGTATTAGTGATTACGATCAACTTTATTGCAATAATCAGATATTTGATGTAATTCTGATTCATACAATCAATCCTCATACCCGGACTCCTCATAATCAATGGATTGGCATCCGTTTTAGACATTCTACAAAGGACTCTCAGCTCAATATTTTATTACGTAGTAATTTTATTTATTTTATATTATATTATATTTTTAGCAGCAATCAGAACCTTACGTCCTATGAGCTGTTGGGCTGAAACTTCTCCTTACTTCGTATTTTTAGATAACCCAATGGTTAATCCCTCCATATTTGATGGTTTTTGTTATTAGAATTAATCTAATAGGGCTGACTTTTTTATTGGTGCAGCAATGCCAGGCATAGGCTATTTTCACTTGGAAACATATTGCTATCTATATTTCCAAGTGAAAATCGTTGTCACTGCCGCCTGACAACAGGCTGCTCGAAGTGGATATCGAACCCGGGACCTCTGAAACAAGTCCCGTCGCTCTTAACCGCTTATCTACAGGCGAGCCCACGTAATAAGTGCAAATATTTCTATTTTATTTTATTTGGCCATCAATAGGTGCAAATATGTATGAAATTAAAAAAAATACAGTCAATTCTCTTTGACGCGTCGAGTATTATACGTATTATGTGATAAGTAAATAGTAGGGGAAGTTAGGACAAAATGGTATATATGGAATAACGCCGCAGACCTTATTAAAAAATAAGCTAGTTTAACTAACTTTATAACAATTGAATACTGCGTCAAGTTTTTTGGTACTTATTTAAATTCTATTAACACTTAGAGTTCGGGCAACGTAATTTTACGTTTTTTTATGTCTGTCACTAAAGCGCGGGTCACGTAAGAATACGTATTTAGTAGATTTGTGGTGATTACCCGCTAACTACTACAAATCTAAAATACCCATACAAATTGATAAATTGAACCGTTGTATTAAAGATAGTGATGAAGAAATATGCGCTGACAGATCATCGGACTTTTCGTCAAGATATCGAAGAAAGTGACGATGATGATATTATTCCACGTTCTCGAGTGTTTGAATTTCGAGTAGTTCTAAACCAGTAGTTCTAAGACTATTATTGGTCAACTGATCCCTGCACAAGTACACCTTTTTTTTTTCAAAAACCATGCCAAGGAATATTTCCGCCAAATATGCAATACTAGGCATTTCAATAACAATGAAGTCGTCACAGACGATTCTGATCGCTTATTCAAAGTTAGGCATGTACTAAATTATTTTGTTGAAAAGTTCAATAATATTGAAATGGCAATAAAATACCGTTAAGATTTTTGCTATCTTTACAGAGCATATTTTGTCTTTTTATTAACATATTATCTTCAAATTTTTATCTAAAGCGATAATTTTTAGCCTTTTTGTATTTCATATATATCTATGAATATGAACATAACAATGCTTTTTATAGTCTACACTGTAGACTCTACAGAAATATCAATTGTTATTATTTCATGGAGCTTGTAAGTTGGTACTTTTAAGTGGATAATTATTATATAATTGTTCAAAAGTACGATTTGTTAATTTTTGCGATCTGACGTATTTTTGTTTGCCGTAAATAGTTAAAAAAATTTTTTTTTAATTTTAAATTTTTTTAAACAAGTTTTTTTTTTAATTTTTATGTTGTTTTGACTTTATATTATGATTCCTACAATATTAATATGTAAAATAAAAAACAAAAAAGCCTGCTTATTTTTTGACCTTCCTTATTTTTTCCCTAGCATTAAGTGGTTTTAAACCTTATTACTGACCGACAAATGTTAGTTATGATGTTTGATTTTTGTGCACTTGGTCTTTTCAAAAATTCATAAATCATTATGTCTTCATCTCCTGTCACTTCGTTTTTGCTGTATGGTAACGGTTTTTGTAATCAGTTGCTTTTTTTCTTAATAAATATGATAGAGTACCTACTTAATAAAAATACTATGTTAGTGCTAGTGTTTTTGTATACATTCTTCTTCTTTTGAATTCTATCGTCATTTTAAATATCAAAAAACGCTAAAAGAATTTTATATTACGAAGAGACGACCAGAGCGACCTCGTACAAAAATTAATCAGGACGATTATCTACTGTTTTTTTGATTAGTTCTTGAATTGATCAAAAAATTTTACATTTTTTATTCATTGAAAAGAAAGAAAAGGCCTTGCCGATTGCTGGTCAAACTTATAAGCTAAGCTTCATTCCTTATCAAGTTATATCGAATGGCTTTACATTACATTTTAAACTTTAAAAGTTTTGATATCACTAATTTTTAAACCATTAATCAAATTATTTTAAATATATGATTATAATTTTTTAAATGCCTTGTTTTAATACTTTTACAATAGTTAATATTTTAAACTTTGTACATTTTTAATAGTAATATTTTTGTATAATATTTTTAGCTCAAAACTGTTGATATATAACATTATGAATCGAACATTAGAATACTTTGTATTTAATATTTCCTTGAATTTTCAGCAACCATATATCGTGTTCGCATGTGTTTTGAAGTTGTCAAATTGCAAAAATCAGATAAATTTTTCAATAAATACTTTAGTCGGTCCAATTTCTTGTGCAGAATTTGAAATTTATACCGGGGGTATTCAATTTCTTTTTTAAAAAAAACTTTGTTTCTAATTGTGGAGAATTTATGATTCTTTGCATATTTTTGACCTGATAAAAGGTTATTTACACAAAATCTTAAAGTTTTTTAATTGGCACAAATATTATGTAATAATAACGTTAATTTTGTTTTTCTCATTAAAAATAAAAGACACTCCGTAGGGCAGTGTTTAAGGGAATTGCTTTGCGAAATAAGGTTGATATCCAATTTTCATTTAAATATGAATCAAGCATTTTCAGTTTAAAAAGAAAATACTTTTCCGGCACTACGGTGTGTTGTAGCAATCAAAAATGCCTAACTTCTTCTTGCTAATCTCTTTTTATTTCTACTACTATTAATAAATAAATATAGAGTTTTTTATCCATTGTAAAGTCTGCTGATCTATTTTTAAATTTATCTTAAATATTTATAGAATTATATGTATTATAATAGAAGTCTTGAATTTGTTAAATATAGCAAAAGATAATAACACTTTCCCGTCGAAAAGCATTTATTTGTATTTTGCCCAATGACTTCATATATGCTTTTGCTATAATTATCTAATCTTAAAATTTTAAATTATTTTTTTTTGTTGAAACAAGTGCATTGAATTTTGAATTTGTATGAAACCTAAATGTAACTAATTCGCTAGCCTCACGACGAACTTTTATAATATTCTCAAAAACCCCGATATAAAGTTATAAATAAATATTTTAATTAAATTCATATTTTGTTGACTTAGATTATCGCCTTGTTGCGTATTTATGTATGCATTTCACACTAACATCTTAAACAATTTCAAATTTGGTTTAAATTAATATTTTTTTGGTTTTTGCTAAGCAATTCTGAAACGTATTTTTATACTATTTTAAATGCAAGATATACCTTAATGATTCACTTTGAGTAGTATCTTAATGTCAAAAATTCTTAATATAAAATTTTATACTATTATATATATATATATAGCTGATTTTCACAACATAACTAATTTTTCAGAAAACTTAGTTATTATTATCATATGCATAAACTTAATAGAATGTACTTGTACATAATCTCTGTATTAGTACAAAAAATACCCTAGAAGCAAATTTCCCTATAATTTATGTTTTTATTTTTTTAGCATCTATATCACCCATCCTAGTGATAATACTTTACAGAAATGTGTAAAAATATATTTATTGTAGTCCTATTATATGAGATTTTTGATTAGCATGATTTACATCATTCTCAATTTTCAAAACGGAATAAAATTTCTTAATTTTCTGGTTTAATATTCAATTTATTTTCGTTCGGATCTTTG